TTGAGAGATAGGTGGCGGTAATGCACTTCTAAGTCTGCGATCCGCCGTAAAGCAAGAAGACGACACGTCATGTGCCGGCTGTTGAGAACAGTTCGGACATTGCGGTGAATCAGAGGTAAAAAAAAACGATATAAATACTGTTCAGTTTCATGCACAGACCGATCGTTTCATGTCTTTACACATCAATGTATCGTCACGAGCCTCAGGGTTTCATTTGGTTTTATTTGTGTATGTTTTTATGACTCTCAAAGCCGTGATTCCCATTCACTTCCATTATATGACTGACAGACTGCAACAGTTTGAGTTAAAAATCTTCGCTTGTGTTCTACTGAAGAAACAAAGTCACCTACATCTTGGATGCCCTGGGGGTAAACAGATAAACATCAAATTTTCATTTTTGGGTGAATTAGTCCTTTAATGAAAAACGGTGTAATTATTAACAGATAATGAGCTGACTTAACAGGGAAAAAACACGACAGAGATATTGAGACTGTATTGGCAAGTGGGTGAAACTGACACTGCATGACAGACTTTTGAATGTGGCTTTGAGAAGAAATCAATACCTATCGACAGCATGACCCGGGTGGACTTTAAGCATTAGGTCTCTTCTTACATGTCAAAAAGGGTCAATAACTTTTTACTGTTTTTGCTATAAAAATATTTTTATTTGCAACTGGTATTTGCATATGCTGCTAGATATACTGTGGCCAGCAGTCCAGCTGGTCCCAGGGGAGAAAAAAAGCCTTGGTTTGTTTGAATCAACTGGGGGGAAAAAGTTTAAAAAGTTTTTTAACAATAAAACTCCTGAAAACTGATTTTCCCTGGTCATCTAACTGTACCCAAAGGCAGGCGAGTGTCTATTAACTATGACAACAGAGCATTAAAAACTCAGGTCAGATAAATCCATTGAAAGGCAATCTGCTTAATGGTGCACAGGCCAACAAGATGACACTTAATGGCCACTTTTATTGAAAATATCACCAAGTCAGAAAGGTACTGTTAATTTGTGAAAGCATACTGACGAATTAAAGAAAACCAGAAGAGAAAGCTTTTATCTTACATGTTTTCCCATCTTTATGTAATAATAGGATTGTTGTGCAAAAGCCTCTTAGTGAAAGAGCACACTGCACAAACTAACGTATTTTAATCACATTTTGTCCCGTAGATATGTAAACAACAGTCAAAGGCAATTTACAGTTATGTTTTAAGAAACTCTTACACCATATTATTTGAGAAAATATAAATACAAACAGGCAATTAAAAATAAAACAAAAGTCCTTTAGTGCATTACCCTCATCGTCCCACATATGTACAGATGTTACTTATGAAAAGCTCATATTTTGGGATAAAGCAGTTTTGCATTGTCGTACACATTTTATATACATTGCATACTACTTCTTCATAGATCTACTCCATTTTGGACATCTCAAATTTTGTGGTCATGATCTCCTGAGGGGAAAAAATCATGAAAGAAAGTCATCTTTTAAACAATGAAGAAAGGGAGTCATTTAAAAAAAAATGCTGTGCAATACAATGAAATTCCTCAAATAAATAACAATACAATACATATGTATTGTAGTATGTAATCTCTGATCCCCTCTTAAGAGATTTGTCCACATTGGCTGCAGTTCGATATACGAGCACATCCAATGTTAGCTTAAGTGAGCTCTCATTAGTCAGACAAAACCTCCAAAGCCTCAGCGCTCCTTTTGTTCCAAGCAGAAAGAAAACAACAGAGAGACTTTACTCTGCTCTACTTTAGATGCTCAAAGGGCGCCCACTGCTGGCCAATCAGAATATGAGACACTTACCTCGTCTGAGTCTAGCAGAGGCGGCAGTGCACTGCAAAACAAAGAGAAGGACATGTCAATGACATGGCAGAGATTGCTGGTACCTTTACAGGCAAACCGATGACCTGTTTGGGTGTACAAATAATCAGTGCCATACTGAAAAGTGCTATTAGTGCTAGTATCTATCATTCTAACGATAATTTCTATACACATGACTTTTATATGATCCCTGGACTTACACATCAGCCATTGATGAGGGAATGTTCTCCTCAACCCATTTGAGATCTTCATCCTGGATTGGAATATAAAACAAATTTACCATGAGGTGAAGGCCTTGCCATGACCAAAAATATGCAGCGTATTTGAAAATACACAACAATAATTTTTTTTTCACACAACAGGGTGTTTTTTCATGTAAACGGCACGTCTAATCCTTCATAAGGCATTCTTATATATGGCAATACAACATGCTTTTCATGAAACAATTTTTTTTAAGCCAAGTATTGTTATGAATTACCACTTTGCTGGGTTTTGAACTTCCATTGGTCTCTGGTTTCATTCCTCTCATTTTCACACCCTCTGTGAATTCAAGTATAACTGGTTAGAACCAGCTAAAGGCAGTCAAATGAAAGCACAGCAAACAAAGGCTGATAAACCAGATCTGCAGACTTGATAGACAGCATTCAAATGTGCTGATGAAATGTAAACGGAAAGTTTTAAAGTCGGCATTAAATGAAAAACGACCCCATCTATTTTCTAAATGCATGTTATAAATCTTATTGTAAACGTTTCTCTATGTATTTGTTTGATAAAAAAAATGGACCTATTAATTTTTTTTTATTCAAATAACTTCATTCATTGAGTTAGTTTAAACCCATCCCTACAAGCTCATGTACATCTGTCTTCACTTTTGACTGCAACACCCACATCTCAACATCTAATCAACCGATGTGTACAACCTAGGCATACATTTTTTTTTTTTTTTGATCTTTTACACTCGGATGTACATCACGATACAGAAAAAAAAGATCTGTTGCTACTTCCGTTTCATCACGACTTTAAATCAAATACATCATATTTAGTGGAAAGGCAGCTTGTAAAGATCCCATGTGCAGAATTTTATCCACCATCTTTAAATACAGGCCACTACTTCTGTCTCACACCTGCAAATTTTTTAATTAAGACCCTTACCGAAGGCTTCATTCATTAGCTGCTCCCCCTCTTCTTCCTCACTAACCTCATCCACCAGTGGACTGAAGGCATACCTGAAAGGTTCAGAAGGACAAAGATTAACGATCTTGTTTCTACTATTAGCGGTGTTTACAAAAGGGTTGACATATGGTTAGAAGTGAAGCGCTTTACCTCTGGTTGTTGGCTGACGGCCTCCATAAGAAAATGATCACGAGCAGGATACTTGAGAATAGGAAGCGCCAGAAGGCATCATCTATCCACAGCTCTCTCCAGTCCTACAAGGTGTCATTAAAAGTACATGAGTTTAACTCAAAGGACAGAAGACATATTTATTACATATAAAAAGAGAATGCTTACAGATTGGCACTTGGATAACTTGAAGGTCTTTGTTGTCCACACAATAAATATAACAGAAGCTGAAAGAGAAGCAGAATTTCATTATGAGAACATGTGGCAGAAAAAGAAAGCAAAATAAATATATATGCATACACTTCATTTCAAATGTTTGGGCTAAGTAAGATTTAAATTTTTTTTAAAGACATCTCTTATGCTCCCCAAGGCTGCATTTATTTGATCATTAATACTGTTTGTTTGTTTGTTTATATTTACCAGCTATCACGGCTATATTCATGGCGAGGGAAGAAGAAGAAGAAAAAAAAAGATCGATATGGACTTTTATAAGAGGTTTTTAAAATTTATCTCAGATAAAACATTTTTTAATTAAAACTAGTTTCACTTCATTGAAAATCTGTTATCATTAATACAGTAAAACAATAATATTGTGAAACATTAGAATTTTAAATAGCCGTTTTCTATTTTAATGTTTTATAATTATTATAAATAATTATTTCTGTGGTGGCAAAACGGAATTTTCAGAAGTCATTAATCCAGTCTTCCGTGTCACATGATCCTTTAGAAATTATTCTAATATGCGGATTTATTTATTATTATTATTATGATTAAACACCATGTCAGCAGCAGTGACTATATTCATGGCAAAAATAACTGCATCACTCAATCAAGTCAATCAATATCCTTTCTATTGTAAATAATGTTTACAATAACTTAATTTTTTCTAATATGATGATTTGGTGTTCAAAAAAAGCATTTCTTATTATCATCCATATTAAAAACAGTTGTGTTGATCAATATCTTTGTGGAAAACATGCTACATTTTTCTCAGGATTCTTTGATGAATAGAAAGTTCAAAATAACAGTATTTATTAAGAAATAGAAATCCTTTGTCTAACTTACCCCAAACATTTGAACTGTTGTGTATAATTAAGGAAATATCAGTGCTTGCAAGTTTTTAGTAAAATCATAGTTTGAAAAGTTGTAAACCTAAATATAGCAAGAGAAAGAGACGTAGATTGAATGTCCCCAATTATGGCTCACTTTCCATTAATAAATCATGTAACCCAGATGTTTGACATAGACCAATCATAATTCAGTATGTGAGTATTACACAGACATTAATCACTGGCAGTTAGGCATTTCAATGCAGTACTGTAATCCTGTCAAAGATACTTTGCACAATAATGTAGTAGTGTGTGGCATTTGCTCACCGATGACAGCGAATATGAGTGTGTTGGTGAAGTGTCGGTAAAGGGACAGTTTGACCACGTTTCTCCTCAGCCGAAGGAGCTTCATCGTCTGGGCCAGGCTAATGAAGATGTGACTGAGTGTCAAGGACTATATCTGATCACTAGGGCTCAGCGACTTCCTGTTCATACGCAATGCAGTGCAGACACAGCTTACTTTGCAGTAAAAAAAAGGGAGAGATGTGAAACTGTAGAGAGTATTCCTGACTGTGAACATGCACGGGTTTGTCCTTTAAGTGTTCTCAAGCTTTACAGAAAATCACGGAAATTGCAAAGAGAAGGAGAACAAAAAGAGGGGTCATCAACAGCCCACATGCACAAGGCCACTGTTACACAACCCATTTAGAGAGAAAGAGGGACACACACAAACAGCAATGGAGAAACGTAGGATATCCACCAGCAGAGGGTAGAGTCGAGAACAGCCAAGGGGATGGCAGCCAGCAACACCAGGTCATCTTCAGCCTGACAGAACAATATAGGGGGAAGATAGAGGGAAAGACAGAGAGAGCCAGAGAAAGAGAGAGAAGAGTAGCACCATCACACACACCACCATCAGAGGGTCCTACATAGGGCTGGACGATTTCCTATTTATGGCATTCATTAACTCAATATTTATGTATTTGCTTTGATATGGCTTGGAACTGACTTTTTTTTTTTTTTTGCATAATTTATTCCCGTTATGGCAAAGCTAAATGTTCAGCAGCCATTACTCCAGTCTTCAGTGTCACATGATCCTTCAGAAATTATTCTAATATGCTGATTTGGTGCTTAAGAAACATTTCTTATTATGATCAATGTTGAAAACAGTTGTGCTGCTTATTTTTGTAGAAATCATGAAACTTTTTTTCAGGATTCCTTGATGAATAAAAACTTGATAAATGTAAGCAAACATTACTATTTATTACTAAACAATAATATTTCACTCTTTTTTTAAAAGTGAATTATTGAATCGGAATCTATGCACAGTTAAACTGATTAACAGAAATAAACAGATCTAACCAACTATTGTACTGATACACCTACTATGGTGTTTAATTTCATATCGCAATCAGGATCATCACAAATACATCTTAAAGTGGTCCTATTATGCTTTTTCACTTTTTCAACTTTACTTAGTCTGTAATGTTGCTGTTTGAGCATAAAAAAGATCTGCAAATTTCAAAGTCCACTTCAAAAGGAGATATTTTATTTAACAGAAATCACTTTCAAAAACTACAATGAACGACTCGTTTGGACTACAACGCATATTTTCCGGGATTTGTGATGTCACAAATATCGACGAATGCGACGAGACCTGGTTGAGCTGCACTAGAGAAGGCAACGAGTGTTATCACTATGTCGGAGACACGCTAGCTTTCTCAAGGTAGACGGATTTAGAGTGGTTACAATCATCCGGGTTTAAATCACGCTCAAATTGATTTGATTTTGACGCAATATTTACACTGAAGCTCGCAGGCGGCTATGGTAAGGAGCATGACATTTCCCGACCAGGCACCGAGTGCTGCCAATCACAACACACACTGGCCCAGCTGACCAATCACAGCACATTTCGTATTTCAGAAGGCGGGCTTTCATTTGATAACGGAACTATTCGAGCCGTTCATGCCAGACTGGGGAGAGAGGTGTTGTAATAATATAAAATATGTGAAAAATAATGTGTTTTTCGAACAACCTGGTATGAGAGCCTGTTCTAGGACACCCCCAAAACAAAATCAAGATTTTATAAAAGAGCATAATAGGACCCCTTTAATATTTAATACATCGTCAAGCCCTAGTTGCTCACACATTGCAAAACCATAACCACCATTCAGCCCAACAAAGGTAGATCATGCTACTAGCTTCGAGGCAAGACTAAAAATGGAGAAAGAAGATATTCGACAAAGCATTATGCCAGCTGCACACCACTACCATCACATGAGCCAAAGAAACTGAGAAGAGCAAAGAGAGACTCAAATTTCCATAACATGGTTTCCTAAAAATAACTGTGCAACTGTGAACCTTAAGCACTAGTAACTGCAATTCAAAAAAAAAATTTAGAAGTTCAACCCCATTAGATCTACTTTCATTTCCATCTATCTGTCCCAATCTACACCATGCAGAAGTCACTTGAATTACAGCAGAAAATACATAGTCTTAACAGATGACTGACTTGTGAAAGGATATCCACCACACAATACAAGAATCAATGAGGGCCATAACAATGTCACAAAGCAGCCTGCTTGAACCACCGTGCTCCTGCGAGAGAGAAACATTAAGATGCACATGACATTTGGTGCAGCGTCATCATTTCATTAAATTAGGAGGTTTGTGACAAAGGTGGACGTGTTTCTCCACTGGTCACTATTTTTCATTTTGTAGTGATAGTGTGTTCAGTTTCAGCTGCGAGACTCTCTTTACCGTGTTGACTCTCAGTACTCCTTCTATGATGGAGAAGATAAGGTAGAGCAGTCCTACCCCCACCACCCTGTGCAGCAATGCTCCTAGTCTTGGTCTGCAGCAAAAAGGTGGAGTTATTGAATGAGAAGTGTATAGAACTATGCTGAAGATTACTTCAGCAAATTATGTTATTAAAAGTCTAAAAAGTCATTTTTCAATATTATCAATGTTAAAACAGTTATGCTGCTATTATTTTTTGTGGAAATAGTGATAAATTATTTTCAGGATTTTTTAAATTTTTTTTTATAACAATGTAGTAACAAGTGTTTACTGTCACTTTTGATCAGTTTAATGCATCCTTGCTTTATAAAAGTATTACTTAGACTAGATTTTAATCCATTTTGTTCAACTGCCTCAATATATTACTGCTTCAAAACAACTTACTTGACTATGCCATATCCAAGGCTAGCAATGATGACCAGTACTCGAGCCAGGGTTCTTTTTACTGCTGAAAGTACCTCTGCAAACACCACTGCACCTTGAACTGAATATGCAAATAATGCACTGTAATGACTGCATTCACTATAGTAACCAAAGTCACATCAGTCATCAAACATAACTCACATCAAACATAAGCCTCAGGATTTATTAATATAATAGACCAGATTACTATAATGTACATCAAAACAGTTTGCCTTTGTGTTAACCATAAAGCAGCTTTATTTTTACATTTACTAGATTATCAGAATTATAAAAATATTAAAAACTAAATATTAAACCGTCTTCAGTTTTCATCACATTATGCATGACATATAAAATCTAACCTATTTTGAGTGCAGTAAATTATCTCATGTTTAAATGCTAATGCATTATGTTGTAATACACATAAAAAATATCAAATTTCAGCTGCAGACACACCGTAGGGTCTCAGTTCAAGTTGTTTGTGAAATGAACAAATATATATAACCGGTTTTAACAACACATTTTTGAGTTGCGTTACCTGAGTGGCCATCGTAACGGATGCTCTGGAACTCTGCATAGTAGACTGCCTTCTCAAGCATGCCCAAGAAGATCACTCCTCCAATCCAAAACTGAATCCGAAGCAGGTCTCTCCAGTAACACGCAGAGAGAGCCAACCACAGCACGCCCAGAATCACATAGATGATGCACATCACCATGTAGAACTGAAGACAATGGACATTGAAACAGACAATTAGAACAAAAATATGGTTGGAAGCTTTGTGAATGAAAGAACCAACCAAAATGCTGCACAAAATGCTGTTGCTACTTTCACATTTACAATAACATACAAAATGAAGCCTTAAATAACTACTGCAGTTAGACAATTAAAATAAAGAAAGAAAGAAAACACACACACACACACACACACACACACACACACACACACACACACACACACACACACACACACACACACACACACACACACACACACACACACACACACACACACACACACACACACACACACACACACACACACACACACACACACACACACACACACACACACACACACACACACACACACAGACAATGTGTACTCACGATCATCAATGGCCATTCAGATGCTGAGATGTATTGATGGGTGCCGTACATCCTGACCTCCACTGTATAATATATTTTTAAAACTATTAATATTAAATATATATTAAATATAAATGCAAATTTACTTATAAAACTGGTCATTAAAAAGGCCCCTTTGTTGTCAAAGCAGGTTGTTCTCATTCACAAGACATTATGCTGATAATCAAAGATCTGGCTTTTAGAGTTTCACAATAGTTTATCGCTACATAAAACCTCATTATTACCGTTAAGGTAAGTCTAATTAGAATCTTACGTTTTATGCTTGATTTTGATTCTTCGACAACTGGATTTGCCTCAATTCTGATGATGAACATGTAAGGGCTGTCTTCCCAGGTTTGTGCCACTGCAGTGTGTGATTTAGACTGTTTTTCCTGCAACAACAAGACATGCATGTAAAAAAAGAGACAATTTAAAAACTTTTTGTGAATCATGATTCTGTGCTTTAATACTCACTGAGGTCTCCACTGATAAAGAGTCTTTGCTTTTTGGAGCACTTGATAGGTTTGTTGCTGCAACCTGATCATGCAAACATTTGAAACAGTGAACCGCATTTTAACGTTGTTGGCATGGAACTTCATACAAGTTATATCATATCAGGGCATTAAAACGAGTCATTCACCCAAAAATCTGAATTCTGTCATTTTTTCCTCACTCTCATGTTGTTCTCATTAACATATAAGTTGCTCTTTTTCATACAATGAAAGTAAATGGTGACTATGACTGCAAATGGTTTCAGGAGATTCAGAATATAGTGCAAACGTCGTAGGCACTACTGTCTTATATTGTTTATAAACCTTTTTGAAGCCTGACAGCCCCCAGTTCCAATTGATTTTATTTGTATGGCAGAGAGCAGCTCAGATATTCTGTTAAAGATTTCCTTTTGTGTTCTACAAGAAAAAACATCACAGGTTTAGCGGGTGAATAAATGATGACAGACTTTTCATTTTGAGTGAATTCCTAAAAATATTAAAACAGATTATGAACCAACATCTTTTGTCTGCCCTTCTGTCTTCCCTGCGTCCCTCCTTCGTCTGCTTTGTGAATTTGTGGTTGGCTGAAACACAAAAGAGAGCCGACAATGTTCCAAAGGTGTTTTATACAGCAAGTAAAATTTTGGATTGCAGTAATTAAAAAAATATTTTTTTTATAAATAAAAAACATTTTTTCTCCAAAATGATTCTGGCATTGTCATTTCCCATTTCGCAATTCCTTCCCCACTGGACAAAATCTATGCAGGATTAATAGTTAATAGCAATATGTTTATGAAAGGTGACCCTGGGCACACACTCTAAAGAACCAATGCTTGGTTAGACCAGACATTCAAATGAACAGCAAAGTCTGCTGAAGTTAACAATAAAACAGACAGAATCTGTGTCAGATAATCAGACTGACAGATGAAATACCAATTACAAGGCTCTTTGGAAAACTGGATTCTGATTGGTCAATCACAGCATTCTGTGCAGCTGAATTAGGCAACAGATTTCCTACGTAGCTAGCTGTCCTAGTTTCATATATCACTCAACAGTCTCTTTCTTCTCATATAATCTTCTCAAATCAAAATTTCATATAGATCTATGTTAATTATTAATTTCAATTATGTACTCAATCAATTTTGCACATGTGGATGACCATATACACAAGCTACCACCATTTTTGACCCTGAAAAAACCCTGGTTTAAAAGCATCAGTTCAACTTACCAAAGTCATTGGTGTCAGCCGTTCAGGATGATCAAAGTTTTCTACTGCAAGCTGGGGAGTCCAATAAAAATAAAGAAAACCCTTAATGACAGATCTTTTGGCATTCGTGTTTTATGTTCATCAACACAGTGACAAAATGTAACAAGCTATGCACGAGAGAGTGAAGATGGCATGTACCTTATTTCCAGGAATACTAGATTCACACTGTATAGGCTCATACTCGTGGTATATGTACAACCCATTGCTTCCTTCGCGCTGTACATAGTTGTTGTTAAAATAGAGTTTTGCTGATTCAGGCTTTTTTGAAGAAAAGAGAATTGTGCATATTAAATTGCTGTTCAAATTCAAAAATAGCACTTTTTAGAAAAAACACACTTACATCAAGTCCAAACACTTCATCGTAGCAAGGAGAACTCCGCAAATACCATGCTATAGTGAAGTTTACAGGACCAGCACACACTTCATTGAGCACTGAAATATATACAGCATATGAATACAAAAAATAATCAGAGCAGCCAAAGCATGGCATTCACTGATGAACTGGATTAAATTACTTTGAAAAAACTCACAATCGACTGAAAACAAATGAAAAAAATGACAAATTTTATTTAAAATTTTGAATAAAAAATAGCCTTGTCAGTGTTAGAGAAAATTTGGAGAGAAAAAAAAATGTAAGAAAAGTAAAGTGCATACTCACATTTTATCTCAATTAAAGTATTATTGAACATTGTCTTCGGAAAATAGTAGAACTTTTGCTTCGCACCTTCCTAAAATACACAAAAAGGAGGATTCTCACAATTTCATGATCTGACTAGTCACCCTAAAAATGAAATACCTCATGCTCATATATCACACAAGAAATGCATTTGTAACTATAATAAAAAGATTAGAATGAAATCAGCTATATTAGGGCAAGACCAGACTAAGAAACCCTGTAAAGCTACTGCCTAGCTTAGCCTCATCCCTTAAGGACACATTTTCACTGTAGGCAGATTACATCATATTATCGATCCCCAATATATATTCTACACATTCTTCAATTCTATAAACTCATTTATAGTAGCTGTTAACTGGTGTGTGTGTGTGTGTGTGTAAAGACAATGGCCTGTCATGACTCTGAACACACAACACGAGGGTCAAGATTTCACTTAGCCTGGATATACTGCAGGTGGGAATGCACTTACATTATCCACATCCAGGACCCAATATCCCGGCTCTGATATAGCAGTCAGCGGTGGTATTAATACAAAATGAAGAATGACAACAAGCAGTACTCCTCTGAGTCTTGCCGATACCAATGATTCGGTCGTGACAGTCACCATTGTTAAGGAAGCAGATGACGTTCCAGCTTGTGCGCGAGCAACACTTCCCGTTCCTCGTGCAAATCTACATCCTGTTCGACGTCACTTGGTGGGAGGGAAGAACAACTACAAAAACACATGTGGATGCTTTTTTTGTTAAGTTTTTATTTATTTGTTTATCTGTTCATATTTATTTTTATCCGCTTTTTTTGTTAAGTTTTTATTTATTTGTTAATCTGTTTATATTTATTTTTATCTGCTTCTTTTGTTAAGTTTTTATTTATTTGTTAATCTGTTTATATTTATTTTTATCTGCTTCTTTTGTTAAGTTTTTATTTATTTGTTAATCTGTTTATATTTATTTTTATCTGCTTCTTTTGTTAAGTTTTTATTTATTTGTTAATCTGTTTATATTTATTTTTATCTGCTTCTTTTGTTAAGTTTTTATTTATTTGTTAATCTGTTTATATTTATTTTTATCTGCTTCTTTTGTTAAGTTTTTATTTATTTGTTAATCTGTTTATATTTATTTTTATCTGCTTCTTTTGTTAAGTTTTTATTTATTTGTTAATCTGTTTATATTTATTTTTATCTGCTTCTTTTGTTAAGTTTTTATTTATTTGTTAATCTGTTTATATTTATTTTTATCTGCTTCTTTTGTTAAGTTTTTATTTATTTGTTAATCTGTTTATATTTATTTTTATCTGCTTCTTTTGTTAAGTTTTTATTTATTTGTTAATCTGTTTATATTTATTTTTATCTGCTTCTTTTGTTAAGTTTTTATTTATTTGTTAATCTGTTTATATTTATTTTTATCTGCTTCTTTTGTTAAGTTTTTATTTATTTGTTAATCTGTTTATATTTATTTTTATCTGCTTCTTTTGTTAAGTTTTTATTTATTTGTTAATCTGTTTATATTTATTTTTATCTGCTTCTTTTGTTAAGTTTTTATTTATTTGTTAATCTGTTTATATTTATTTTTATCTGCTTCTTTTGTTAAGTTTTTATTTATTTGTTAATCTGTTTATATTTATTTTTATCTGCTTCTTTTGTTAAGTTTTTATTTATTTGTTAATCTGTTTATATTTATTTTTATCTGCTTCTTTTGTTAAGTTTTTATTTATTTGTTAATCTGTTTATATTTATTTTTATCTGCTTCTTTTGTTAAGTTTTTATTTATTTGTTAATCTGTTTATATTTATTTTTATCTGCTTCTTTTGTTAAGTTTTTATTTATTTGTTAATCTGTTTATATTTATTTTTATCTGCTTCTTTTGTTAAGTTTTTATTTATTTGTTAATCTGTTTATATTTATTTTTATCTGCTTCTTTTGTTAAGTTTTTATTTATTTGTTAATCTGTTTATATTTATTTTTATCTGCTTCTTTTGTTAAGTTTTTATTTATTTGTTAATCTGTTTATATTTATTTTTATCTGCTTCTTTTGTTAAGTTTTTATTTATTTGTTAATCTGTTTATATTTATTTTTATCTGCTTCTTTTGTTAAGTTTTTATTTATTTGTTAATCTGTTTATATTTATTTTTATCTGCTTCTTTTGTTAAGTTTTTATTTATTTGTTAATCTGTTTATATTTATTTTTATCTGCTTCTTTTGTTAAGTTTTTATTTATTTGTTAATCTGTTTATATTTATTTTTATCTGCTTCTTTTGTTAAGTTTTTATTTATTTGTTAATCTGTTTATATTTATTTTTATCTGCTTCTTTTGTTAAGTTTTTATTTATTTGTTAATCTGTTTATATTTATTTTTATCTGCTTCTTTTGTTAAGTTTTTATTTATTTGTTAATCTGTTTATATTTATTTTTATCTGCTTCTTTTGTTAAGTTTTTATTTATTTGTTAATCTGTTTATATTTATTTTTATCTGCTTCTTTTGTTAAGTTTTTATTTATTTGTTAATCTGTTTATATTTATTTTTATCTGCTTCTTTTGTTAAGTTTTTATTTATTTGTTAATCTGTTTATATTTATTTTTATCTGCTTCTTTTGTTAAGTTTTTATTTATTTGTTAATCTGTTTATATTTATTTTTATCTGCTTCTTTTGTTAAGTTTTTATTTATTTGTTAATCTGTTTATATTTATTTTTATCTGCTTCTTTTGTTAAGTTTTTATTTATTTGTTAATCTGTTTATATTTATTTTTATCTGCTTCTTTTGTTAAGTTTTTATTTATTTGTTAATCTGTTTATATTTATTTTTATCTGCTTCTTTTGTTAAGTTTTTATTTATTTGTTAATCTGTTTATATTTATTTTTATCTGCTTCTTTTGTTAAGTTTTTATTTATTTGTTAATCTGTTTATATTTATTTTTATCTGCTTCTTTTGTTAAGTTTTTATTTATTTGTTAATCTGTTTATATTTATTTTTATCTGCTTCTTTTGTTAAGTTTTTATTTATTTGTTAATCTGTTTATATTTATTTTTATCTGCTTCTTTTGTTAAGTTTTTATTTATTTGTTAATCTGTTTATATTTATTTTTATCTGCTTCTTTTGTTAAGTTTTTATTTATTTGTTAATCTGTTTATATTTATTTTTATCTGCTTCTTTTGTTAAGTTTTTATTTATTTGTTAATCTGTTTATATTTATTTTTATCTGCTTCTTTTGTTAAGTTTTTATTTATTTGTTAATCTGTTTATATTTATTTTTATCTGCTTCTTTTGTTAAGTTTTTATTTATTTGTTAATCTGTTTATATTTATTTTTATCTGCTTCTTTTGTTAAGTTTTTATTTATTTGTTAATCTGTTTATATTTATTTTTATCTGCTTCTTTTGTTAAGTTTTTATTTATTTGTTAATCTGTTTATATTTATTTTTATCTGCTTCTTTTGTTAAGTTTTTATTTATTTGTTAATCTGTTTATATTTATTTTTATCTGCTTCTTTTGTTAAGTTTTTATTTATTTGTTAATCTGTTTATATTTATTTTTATCTGCTTCTTTTGTTAAGTTTTTATTTATTTGTTAATCTGTTTATATTTATTTTTATCTGCTTCTTTTGTTAAGTTTTTATTTATTTGTTAATCTGTTTATATTTATTTTTATCTGCTTCTTTTGTTAAGTTTTTATTTATTTGTTAATCTGTTTATATTTATTTTTATCTGCTTCTTTTGTTAAGTTTTTATTTATTTGTTAATCTGTTTATATTTATTTTTATCTGCTTCTTTTGTTAAGTTTTTATTTATTTGTTAATCTGTTTATATTTATTTTTATCTGCTTCTTTTGTTAAGTTTTTATTTATTTGTTAATCTGTTTATATTTATTTTTATCTGCTTCTTTTGTTAAGTTTTTATTTATTTGTTAATCTGTTTATATTTATTTTTATCTGCTTCTTTTGTTAAGTTTTTATTTATTTGTTAATCTGTTTATATTTATTTTTATCTGCTTCTTTTGTTAAGTTTTTATTTATTTGTTAATCTGTTTATATTTATTTTTATCTGCTTCTTTTGTTAAGTTTTTATTTATTTGTTAATCTGTTTATATTTATTTTTATCTGCTTCTTTTGTTAAGTTTTTATTTATTTGTTAATCTGTTTATATTTATTTTTATCTGCTTCTTTTGTTAAGTTTTTATTTATTTGTTAATCTGTTTATATTTATTTTTATCTGCTTCTTTTGTTAAGTTTTTATTTATTTGTTAATCTGTTTATATTTATTTTTATCTGCTTCTTTTGTTAAGTTTTTATTTATTTGTTAATCTGTTTATATTTATTTTTATCTGCTTCTTTTGTTAAGTTTTTATTTATTTGTTAATCTGTTTATATTTATTTTTATCTGCTTCTTTTGTTAAGTTTTTATTTATTTGTTTATCTGTTCATATTTATTTTTATCCACTTGTTTTGGCCTAATTCTTTTAGTAGATTACCACTGTGTTTTGTATTCTGTAGCTTTTTTTGCTTTGCGTCAACTGAAGTAACATTTTGTTTTTGTTTTTTTAATAATATTTGTGTTGTACGTATCCTCTGTGAGTGTTATATGTTAAAAAAGTACAAAACAGTATAAAAGTAATATACAAAAATCAGATTAAGGGTACAAGCAGGTGTAAAAATATTTTAAAAAGTAAAATTCTTTTTTTTTAAATAAAAGTCTTTATAGCTTTCTCATTCAAAAAGTCTGTAATGCTGTCTTTGTACATTCTTAAGTCAACAAAACCATAAAGCTTTTTTTTATTAGTAAACATGCATTTATGCAATGCTTGAAGTGGAAAAAAGAAGTGACATGAAAAAAGTCTTGAACACTGAATACGTTTATTGTTACATTTTCGTATCTTATACCACAATATAACTGAACAATCAGTTTAAAAGTTCTGTAATTCCATACTATATTTTATGTCTTTTCAACTGAATTAAGCAGTAAAAATAAATAATACTTATAATAATTAAATAATTGTAAAAAATATTATTAATTAATTATATAACAACACAAAAATCAAACAATACAAATACCATATATGTATGTATGTATGTATGTATGCATGTGTATGTGTATGTGTATGTGTGTGTGTGTGTGTGTGTGTGTGTGTGTGTGTGTGTGTGTGTGTGTGTGTGTGTGTGTGTGTGTGTGTGTGTGTGTGTGTCTATGTATGTATGTATGTATGTATGCATGTGTATGTGTATGTGTGTGTGTGTGTGTGTGTGTGTGTGTGTGTGTGTGTGTGTGTGTGTGTGTGTATACAGAGCTGTTGAGCTAATTGAATGTTACAACAGTTAAAAGTTATTTTATTCATAAATCAAAAAGTGCTATTTCTAAAATTCTACATACTAATATTTAAGAACATGGAGAATGTAATACAACATTTTCTCACTAGAGGGCGCTTAATACACACCTATATAAAATGGGCATGACAAACGAGTCTTCGGTCAGCCTACAAATTGACGTCCTGACGCAAAACCTCTGCAGTGAGTGTTGTTTGTGAAACTTGGCTAGCTGGTTTTAGGACCCAGAGTTTGACTAATCAGTGGACTGGGTGTGGAGAGCTACTCTATCCACAAAGAACGGAACGCCTTTGGGAAACTGTTTCTACTTTTATCTGTTTACCTGAGCAGCTGGTCTTTTCTTCCTCTGTGCCTTTCCGGTGGACCTATTCAGCGCCTTTATTCTGGTAAGTTCTCATATGAACGTAGTTTAAATAGAAAACATTGCCCATTCCTGGTGTGCGTCAGGATTAAACCACAACGGCCTGCTAAACTGTAACTTTAAATTTGATTTTACAGTAACTTAGTTAAACCAAGACAACGGCATAAACCTCATGCGTTACAATTCATGTTCATATAAACTCACATAGGACTGTAGAGTGCTGACAGTCATAATGCAGGAAATGGTTTGTTTATTCAGTGCATTATTCCGTCAAGAGAAAAATACCATTGTAACTACAGGTAAATATCATAAATGTTTTTTTTAAAGGAGTTGTAGTGAGCTGATTGTCATATATGTATCTTTTGCACTATATTTAGATACAGACATCAAAAAACTGGCATAATCATGTCTAATCATTTTGTTCAGAGTGTTCAAGATGTTTCTGGCCAACAAACTTATTAAAGGGCTCATAGATGTTGTCAGGTAAGCCTGTACTCTCACTACTGCTTGTCCAAATAAAAACATATACATTTTCAACAATTCATCGATTATCTTTTTTCCTTTTTCATGCAACACAGCAACGTCGACCAATTTGTGCCTTCTGACCCTGTAAGTTTGCATAATCTTTATTTATTTATTTATTTATGTTTCATAGTGTTGAATGGTTGAGGTGTGCCATGTCATTAAGCACTTTGGCAAATCCAGGAAGTCAAATAAGTGGTGCATTGAGTTCTTGCCTTGAAAGATGTTAATGTACTTATCACAGTACTTCACTTGTCTGCTCTTCCAGCCTCCTCCCAAAAGACCACTTGCATATGCGAACCAGAATGAAACCGATGAAGAGAGACAGTTTCGCAGGGTGTTTAAACAACTTGCAGGGGATGTGAGTACACCTGCCATGGCCACAGACCTTTTATCTGTTCTTTCCAATGTTGCTTTTAATTTCCATTTTATTGCAGTGTCTGAATGACCCTGTGATGCCGTTTAAACAGTCTGTGTTCAGTCAGGAGCCTAATTCACTTTTAGGAAGTTTCTATGTTCATCATTCTCTTTTTTTGGGGAAATTAAATTTCCTCTTCTATAACCTGGGTCTTAGTGTACACTCCCGTAACCCCTCAAATGATCCCTACACCTGCATACAAAGGTCTATCAAGGTATTTGAGTCTGACTACAATACCTACAATACTACAATACAATACAGTTTTTCCAAATCAGACACTTGAACGCTTTCATCAGATGTTCTGGTTTCAAACCAGAAACTTCCACAACTTCCACAGGCATTGCCTACATTCCATCACATCGCTCCACCCAGCAAGGCTTTCCATCTGTTTTCAGAACAGTTTATTGCCATGATACAGGCTTGTATATATTATTCAGAGTTACTGATCTTCAAACTGACATGGGTGTGGTTAAACCAAGCTAAACTAGTCCAGGGGCAAGAAGTATGACTGGATCTTCCTCTTTTTCACATTCCTGCCATTGTGAAGTAGACTGTCCCGATGGGTTTGGTTTGTGTTGAGTCATAGATGGGCGTGGAAGCCTGCTTTACTGGAGTATTGGATTCATTAGATGCAGGAGTGCTCTTTAAAGTTAGAGAGAGCACTCTTTCCTTTTTACGCTTTTAGAGAGATCGTGTAAGTGATTTTTCCTATCACACAATGGTTTGCACTATTAAATAAAACTGTGGTTCTCAACCGTTTTGACACCGAAGCCAAAATTGTACCCAATACCATTGTCTAACAATTTTAATTATTTGAAATATTTCTACTGTAATTATGACAATACTTCTACAAAACTTTAACATTAACATAAATTGACTGAAATTAAACTCCATTCATTTTGCCATTCTATAAGATTTCACATTTAGATTCTGTATGTTTTTCAATAAAAACAACAATTATTGAGGGTATAATAATACTTTACATCTTGTTTTGTGGGTGTGTTTTTAGCATTTTAATTATGTGTTAATTAATTTATTAAATTAACTACAGTTATGAAAAATGTATTCCTGGTAGGTTATCTGGACAGCTAAAAGACTGACAGTATTCAAGAAACCAATCTCTTCCATGAGCACTTAACTGCATCCTGCAGAGAGAAAAGAAATTCGGTATCACTTTAGAATAGGGAACACTTATTCACTATTAACTACGACTTTTCCCTCAATAAATTCCTAATTTGCTGCTTATTAATAGTTAATAAGTTAGTTAAGTTTAGGTATTGGGCAGGATTAGGGATGTAGAATAAGGTCTTGTAGAATAAGGTATTAATATGTGCTTAATTACTACTAATAAAGGGCTAATATTCTAGTAATATGCATGCTAATAAGCAACTAGTTAAGAGACCCTAAAATAAAGTTTTACCAAAAATTATTTTTTTTATACATGTACTCTTCTGGAAAATGTTTGAAACTTTGAACTGCTTGCACTTCTCAGGTTATTGCCTCCTTATGATAAATCACATGTTGTGTTCCTCATTCGTAAGCATATGCTAAATGTATAATCGTAAATTAAGTTAAGTCATCCCCTGTCCCTGCCGTCCTGGTTTGAGAACTACTGATATAAAATACATATTTTACATGCAAGTTCATGTTCTGTCTCTGTTTTAGACATTGCTAGTCTCTGTAAATGATTTTAAAATGAAATCGTTCTTACATCTTTCATTCATTTACTCTCATCATAGGACATGGAAGTGAGCCCCAATGAACTGATGAACATGCTTAATAAGATTATTTCCAAATGTGAGTTTCTTTAACTAACACACACTCACTCACACACACTTATATATATATATATATATATATATATATCACACAAATGAGCCATTATGTAAAAGATTCTAATAAGATGATCCCTTATTTTTACCTGTAGATGGTGACCTGAAGACAGATCGTTTCACTATTGAGTCCTGCAGAAGTATGGTGGCAGTAATGGATGTATCCTTCAATATAAAAATGTTAACAGATAGGGGCTGAGTATTACATTTTGTGAATAACTGCACATACTGTACGACGGTTTAGCCTGAACGGTCTGCTCTCAGAGTGACAGCACTGGAAAACTGGGATTTGAGGAATTCAAGTATCTTTGGAATAACATCAAAAGATGGCAGGTACAAACACGGTTAATTTTATTATTCAAGTCTCTGTAAATGATTTAAAAATGAAATCGTTCTTACATCTTTCATTCATTTACTCTCATCATAGGACATGGAAGTGAGCCCCAATGAACTGATGAACATGCTTAATAAGATTATTTCCAAATGTGAGTTTCTTTAACTAACACACACTCACTCACACACATATATATATATATATATATATATATATATATATCACACAAATGAGCCATTATGTAAAAGATTCTAATAAGATGATCCCTTATTTTTACCTGTAGATGGTGACCTGAAGACAGATGGTTTCACTATTGAGTCCTGCAGAAGTATGGTGGCAGTAATGGATGTATCCTTCAATATAAAAATGTTAACAGATAGGGGCTGAGTATTACATTTTGTGAATAACTGCACATACTGTACGACGGTTTAGCCTGAACGGTCTGCTCTCAGAGTGACAGCACTGGAAAACTGGGATTTGAGGAATTCAAGTATCTTTGGAATAACATCAAAAGATGGCAGGTACAAACACGGTTAATTTTATTATTCATTTATTTTTTATTACTATTTCATCTCTGTATCTGATTTGAAGCGGGCAGAATGCTAGAGCTAATGAGCTGTAACTGATGAAAATAACCGTCATTTTTACCCTTCCGATTGCACTGCTAACATCATAAACGGCTTTAAACTGTCAATGTTGGCAAATGACCATGGAATAAGCAAGATAATCAACGGCTTGCCGTGCATTAAAGGATTTTAAATGTGCTTCGCATCGGGTGGTTCTTGGCCTCCACGTCATGTATTTAAAATCCTTTAATGCACGGCAAGCCGTTGATTATCCCTTACTTATTTTATATTATACAAAATTAATGTTTGGGGGAGTATTTTGTCTTACAAAACTTTGATGTGCATCATGATTCATTTATTTATTTAATTGCTTTAGTAGTGAGTTTGCAACTTAGTATATTTAGCTTTCTGATGCATCCAACAGATTTCCCTTCACTGTCATAAATGTTTCTGAGCAATCTGTTTTTGTTAATACCAGGGCATTTACAAGAATTTTGATGCCGATCACTCTGGTGTGATTGGGCCTAATGAGCTACCTGGAGCTTTCAAAGCAGCAGGTGAGTAGTGTTGTCAGAACTGTAGTGGTTCACTTTTTGTTGCCATTTTTAAAAGGCATGCTGAAGTCCTCTGTGTTTTTTTTTCAGTATTGTGAAAAAAATTATCGTATTTCTTCCAGTCATTATTCAGTCAACAAGTCAGATTGGAATAGAATAATATAGTTTGTTGGGTCTAATTTGTCATTTCTCTTCCCTCCTTCAGGGTTCCCACTCAATGACCAGCTTTTCCAGTTGATCATCCGGCGATATAGTGATGAAAATGGCAACATGGATTTCGACAATTACATTGGGTGTCTTGTGCGCCTGGATGCTATGTGTCGTACGTTGACCGATTGTTTTGCTCTCTTTATTCTTTCATCATAGGCTCAGTATTTTTTAGTTTCAGCATGAATTGCCTTGCTAATATTGTTGTTGTTGTTTTAGGTGCCTTCAAGACACTTGATAAAGACAACAATGGCACCATTAAAGTTGACGTTCAAGAGGTACTGTATGTGAAGTATAATTAAAGAACACAAAGAAACAACATCTCTTAAATTAGCTCCTATATAACATTCTTTTGTATTTTGCTTACAGTGGTTGCAGCTGACTATGTACTCCTGAATGAAGAAGAATATTCTTCACCATCTTGATTATGTTCTGTCAGTTCCTCTTTGCGGCCTGTCATTGTCAAATGTCTCTCTGTTTTAATAACTGACATAATTATCTGTTTCATTGTTAGCTATGACAGCATGATCACACTGTGCCTTTACACTAGGTGGCAGCTTTGTTGCAACGCTTGCTTGCATTTTTTAGAGGTTGGTTTATGCCATATTTCCATATTTTATTCCATTCCATTTGTGCCCTTTTCATTTATTCCATGACTGTTATTTTATAATTTACAACGAGCATTCAACCATAGATTAAAAACCATGTTCAGAATAGAATAGTTTTAGAATAGATGATAGCTATTAAGAACATTACGGAGTCATATTATTTAAATACTGAAAATATGAATCAGCTGTCGGTTTTGCTGTTATTATGCTGATGCTCAAATAAACGTTATTTGTTTTGGACATACAAGAGCAGCTCTCCACTCATTACGTTTGCAAACACCGGTTGCTCTGAGCAACGCAAGTCCGCATCAGGGGGTGAAATAGAAAATGACTGGCAGTTGCAAGAGCCAATTAAAATCCCCAGCGCAAGATAAATGATTACAATAACAGCCAATAGGTATCACAAAGGGGCGGGGCCTCGGAGTTACCTGTGATGAAGACAACTGGCTGCTCCCGCTGAGTAGATGTAGATGATGCTGAAATCAGACCGCCGAGCAAACACAGGTGTTGAGCGCGAGTGGGTGAACAAAACGGCTTTGTCTTAATTGCGCCATCCTCAGGGAAAATAACGCTTAAGCGTGTAACTGGTGTCATACGGTAAGCTGTTTATCTTTTTTTTTTTTTTTTATCTCGTTGAAAAAATAAACTTTAGATATTTTTTGTTTCCTAACTTACTGAAAAGTATATCAGAGAATATGACGTCTGTTAATGCTGTTGTGTTGGGATATTATTTTTTTTATATATAGTTTATTCTGATATGATTAAGTTACTTAGGTTGTTGTTACTAAGGTTGAGAGCTTTATTCATGTAATATAGATGGGAAGGCAAATAATAACAATCATCAAAGATTTTGCCTCATGTGATTTGGTTTAAGATTAATTCCACTATATATATATAAAACACACACATCATTTTACAATGTATTATATAAATACAAAAAAGGAGTAAATCAAATGTTTCATTTGATCAGATTATTATTATTCAATATTATTACAGCTCATAAGGTCAAATTTTGCTTTTACTATTTTGCTCTTGTTGGACTTACAAGGAAATTTCGAAATAAAATAGTATTTTCTGCTTTGATTTAGTCTACTGTCCATTACGCTATATAAATGCTTCATTCGTTCATTCATTCATTCATTGTGTTTGGATAAGGGTCTCTCACCAATGAGCAAATGAAATCCCCTCTTAAGCCCATGTCCACCTGTGGTTTAAAACCCACGGGCAAATCAGTGCAATACATTATACAGTATGCAATATACAGGGAATGCAATAAGATGAATAAATGTACCCTTTTTAAGAGACTCATTTGATATTTTCAGGCATTAAATGTTGACGATTATCAATCAAGATTTCTTCGGCCTCCTGGTATAATGCAAATCAAATCAAATAACAGTAAATGGGTTGTAGACTAATAATAATCAAAACATAAAAAGAGTAATGTAAAGTTTATAAAGCCCATCATAAATTGGTGCAATAAATTCCACTCAATTTAGGCTAATGGATCTAACATGAATCTAAATAAAAAAAACTTCATTAACAATTTGTCTGCATTAACTGTTGTGGCAAACTGTTGGTTGCTCTTACTCCGCCCTTCCTAACTAGAGTGCACAAGCCAGAGTGCACTAGAATTCACTAGTGAGAGAACACCAGGTGAAGGTAGTTAATTTAATCTATCAATGAGCAGGGTAGAACAGACTTTATGTAGAGTAGCAGTGGTTTGAACAAGGAAAACGATTCCTTTTTTTGTGCAGAGTTAAGCTACTACAACAGACTGAAGAAGCAGCCGGTGAGCTTAATATTTTGTACTTGGGTTGTTTGTTCAATCATGTTGTATTTGAATATCAAATATGTTTGGTTTGTGAATTAGGTCTGGTTTTCTATATAGGGAGTATATTCTCTTAGGTCCCACCAGTTGATCTCCTATGGTCTGGACAAAATTGCAGAGGTTTATAGACATGTAACAGCAAATCAACTGCAAACATTCTTTCCAGATGTTCCTCTCAGTGAATTGGTGAGGCCAAGAGAGATCCATCTCTTAATAAGCCACAAGGAAGGTCAGCGACCTTGTGTTGGGACAAGTTAGAGCTCAGACGCCATACCCACTAACACGAGGAGAGTTGCTCAGTCAAGTTTCTGGTCTGTATGACCCAGTCTGACAACACCTGTAAAGCAGAGAGGAGCCATTTTGGTCCGAAGAGCATTTCAAGAGGCCAAACCTGGAGGTAGCACCATTAAAGAGACATGGGACCTTGCATTATCTGACAGACGTCGAGAAGATGCCATTTACCTTTTTGAAGATTGTTCAATTGAGCAAAGTTAGGTTTGCAAGGGCTTTAACTCCAGCAGGCATGTCTGCTGAACCTAATGCAATTACCTTCTCTGATGGCAGTGAACATGCCTATGGTGCTGTTCTGTATTTGTGGTGGCCCTCCGATCAAGGTTCAACAGTGAGACTAGTGGAGTCTAAAGCCAAATTGACCCCCCTAGACCACAAGGGGGAGGTAGTCAAGGCAGAGTTGTGTGGGGCAGTCTTTGCTGCTCGTTTAAAGAAGTACTTTGAGCAACATGGCACAATTCAAGTTAAACAATGGTATCATTTCATCGACAGTCAGACAATCCTTGGTGCAATCCAGCGTGAGAGCTATGGTTTCCAGACTTTTTTCGCCAACAGGATTGGAGAGATCCAAGGCAGTACACGACTTCAGGACTGGTGGTGGGTCCCTGGACCACTGAATATCGCCGACATTATTACTCGAGGGGCTGGTCCAAAGCACTTGGAGGTAGATTCAGAGTGGCACAATATGCTTTTACGGACGAGCATCTTTGAGTGGGGCGATTAAAACATTTGACTTCATAAGCTACCCCTACAAAAGACTCCGGGAAATGCAGTGCCAGGTCAACCGGTTCTGGAGGTTTTGGAGCCAGCCCAACTTGTTTGTGAGAAGCAAATGGCATACCTTACAAAGGAATGTTGCAGTTCGAGATATCGTTTGGGTGTGTGATCAGAATGCTTTGAGGGGCCAGTTTAAGCTTGGAAGAGTTGTAAATGTTAACCCAGACTCCAAAGGTGTCGTGCGGGATGTGAATGTCAAGATGGTTCCAAGCTACTGTGTCTCTGTGATGAAACCTGAGGTGAGACCTGTGAAATCTGCAGCATTCAATCATCCAACCTCTAAAGTCCAGAAGGACTTTCAGCCCATAATTCTGCACAGGGATGTTCGGTGTTTGGTTGTCCTGCTGCCAGTTGAAGAGCAGACAGGAGGCTCAGGAAAAAGGCCCTGCCCAGGAAAGGGGTTTTAACCATAGGTTTGCCGTGAAGTTTTGCAATCTTTCCAGCTGTTCCAGTGGGAAGATTGAGTGGGAGGTGTTGTG